AATAGAATTGACTTGTATTCTGTCAGTGTAACATTAAAAAATGTAACACAAAACATTTGATTGTACAGTAACTCTACTGGATATTCACCAGAGATATATATGTAATTGTTATACGAACGAGCTAGCAACGATTTGAATGAAAAGGTAAGTGCTTGATCGAAAATGCAAGTCTTTTCTATATGGATAATTGTTCTCTGTACTTATGAGAAATAAAGACGACCTGTTTAAATAGCTAGTGAATATCACCTTCGAACAGCAAGGTCTGTCAATTTGATTGATTACTAAACTACATTGGCCAATAATAACCTTATCTACACGGCTTCAATCTCATTACTTTCCTCGCCCAAAACAATTACTTTTTCCGAGGATACCAACTTAGTCAGAACCGGGGAATAAAGATGTGGTTAGCACGACTGAGGCAACTAATCTAAGACCAAACGTTAAATGCTCATTGATTGCGAAAAGCTCAGAGTTAATATTGGTAGGCTTTTGGCAGCATAAAACAAATGGTAACCCACAACGAAAAAGCGTTGTGCTTGCTGGCACAGGAGTTTATCTAGCATAACATCTTTGCGAGGACGGAATCTAGAACTGTAACCTAAGAGGATATGACAAGTTGTACTGGTATTACTTGTTAAAAAGAAGAGATTTAGTTTCATAACAATTGGAATACAGTGTACGGAAAGAGGTAGGTTTCTAACTAGTTTACAACACTCATCGTTTAAAAATTAGCACAGAGCATTAACAGAAGACATCAGACAGGAAAGCTGACACCAGTAAACCTATGAATTAACAGTAGACAATAAATACTCCAATACTTGGCGAGGTTAATTTAAACTAGAGCCGAATAAAACAATTAAAAGAGCGTAAATGGTACAATGACTAAGTTGAATTACTGCGTCAGTAGTCTTTAATTACTCCGACGTAAAGAAATGTTCAGATTTTATCGACTGGTCATATAACATTACACAGTAAATTTCATGATACTGTGAGATGAATGGAGAAGTCACACAACTGATCTCAGACGGTAAAAAAATATAAAAGGTGCAACAAAGACAAACGACCAGTTTTGGAAACTTATACTTATTTTTTAATTTAATCTGTATTGGTTTGGGTTATCCCGTTGTTGATATATTGACTAGTTTTAGTTGGCGCATGTTCATTCCATGAGGATCACACCCACATAGACACTGCTACAAGTTTACGTAGATCAGACAAAATTCAGCTTACAGTTGGATACAGGATGTGTTTTCATTCTATTCGGGACTGATCAGCTGGGTGTATCTGTACCTTAGAGGTGGTGTTCACCTTGAGATTCAAATGAATTGCCTTTCATTTCGAACGCCAATGCGTTATCCACCAAGTCCCTAGTAGTCCTTAATTTGAATCCAGTTAGATTGCATGCTGATGTTTATTGAAACATGCTTATCACCAAACCTCGTATATAATCATCGACTTAAATCGCGTTGGTGAAGAACGGAATTAAATAAGTCAAATACGAAAATGGATTTTTGAATATGTATATTTCGAACAAGCGTTGACTGGAAAGCAAGATAAAACAAAGTGACGTGCAGTAAAGGCAAGTGGGCCAACCCGATTTAATCAAGCTTTAATCAATATTTATAACCAGATAAAAGTAATCTACAGACATATGATGAGTAGGATAAGATGTGCACACACATACGCTCATCTAGAAACAATCAGAATAAATAAGCCAATAAGTGACAAGGTCAAAATGTGGTTTAAGAAGAATGAATAGATTGGTTTGTTTGGAAGTTAGAATAAACTCCGCCTGGAGTCCCTCCGGGGGCTACTGCCGGTCCCAAGCCCGGATAAAGGAGGAGGGTTGGGCATGGGGTTAGCGTCCCCATCCCGTAGAAAACTAAATCGCTAAAAAAACGCTAACCAGAAAAAATTATTCAAACCTTTTAAACTCTGCCCTGGGAGTCAGAAGATCTTCATTTAGAAGAATTATGACGCCTCATGATGAAAGCCGAATCCCTTCGGAAGTTACGAGGCCGATGCCCCTTCTGACAACCAGAGCGACCATTTATTTAAGTACATGGAATGTTCGTACAATGTGGGACACCGGAAGAGCCTTCCAGATTGCTGCAGAAATGAGAAGATACAACCTAGAGGTACTTGGGATCAGTGGAACACATTGGACAACAACGACTAACTACAGGAGAGCTCCTGTTATACTCCGGCCATGAAGAAGAAAATGCACCACATACACAAGGAGTTGCATTGATGCTGTCCAAACAAGCGCAAAATGCACTTATAGGATGGGAATCTCATGGACCAAGGATCATCAAAGCCTCGTTTAAAACAAAGAAAGAGGGCATTTCAATGAACATCACCCAATGCTATGCGCCTACCAACGACTACAATGAAGACGCTAAAGATCAATTCTACAATAGGCTGCAGTCAATAGTCGAGAAGTGCCCAACAAAGGACCTGACCATTCTGATGGGAGATTTCAACGCCAAGGTTGGAACGGACAACACTGGATATGAAGACATCATGGGACAACACGGACTGGGAGAAAGAAACGAAAATGGTGAGAGATTTCCAAATCTATGTGCCTTCAATAAGCTGGTCATAGGCGGCACCATATTCCCACATAAACGCATACACAAAACCACATGGACTTCACCGGATCACTCTACACAAAACCAAATCGACCATATTTGCATCAACAAAACGTTCAGGAGGACTATAGAGGACGTGAGAACCAAGAGAGGAGCTGATATAGCATCAGATCATCACTTACTGGTCCCCAAGATGAAATTGAAACTCAAGAAGCACTGGACAACGGGGCAGACAGTATCACAAAAGTTCAATACGGCCTTTCTCCAGGATACTAACAAACTCAACAAATTCAAGATAGTCCTCAGCAACAAGTTCCAAGCCTTTCATGATCTACTCAATGGACTCAACGGACCTCCCAATCAACGTTGGCCCACCAACAATTGAAGAAATCAGCATGGCCATCAGACAAATCAAGAGTGGCAAAGCAGCAGGACCGGACAACATCCCAGCAGAGGCACTAAAAGCAGACGTAGCGGCAACTGCAAGGATACTCCATATTCTCTTCAATAAGATTTGGGATGAGGAACAAGTACCAACAGACTGGAAAGAAGGACTTCTGATCAAAATACCGAAGAAAGGCGATCTCAGCAAGTGTGATAACTACAGGGGCATCACTCTTCTCTCAATACCGGGAAAAGTCTTCAACAGGGTATTGTTAAACAGGATGAAGGACTGCGTAGACGCCCAACTTCGTGACCAACAGGCAGGATTCCGTAAGGATAGATCGTGTACAGACCAAATCGCAACTCTACGGATCATTGTGGAACAATCAATTGAATGGAATTCATCACTCTACATCAACTTCATTGACTACGAAAAGGCATTTGATAGCGTGGACAGAACAACACTATGGAAACTTCTTCGACACTACGGCGTGCCTCAGAAGATAGTCAATATCATACAGAACTCATATGATGGATTACACTGCAAAATCGTGCATGGAGGACAGTTGACAAAGTCGTTCAAAGTGAAGACCGGTGTTAGGCAAGGTTGCTTACTCTCACCCTTTCTCTTTCTCCTGGTGATCGACTGGATCATGAAGACGTCAACGTCTGAAGGAAAGCGCGGGATACAATGGACATCTAAGATGCAGTTGGATGATCTAGACTTCGCAGACGATCTGGCCCTTCTATCCCAAACGCAACAACAGATGCAGGAGAAGACGAACAGTGTGGCAGCAGCCTCAGCAGCAATAGGTCTCAATATACACAAAGGGAAAAGCAGGATTCTCCGATACAACACAGAATGCACCAATCCAATCACAATTGACGGAGAAGATTTGGAAGATGTAAAAACCTTTACGTATTTGGGCAGCATCATTGATGAACAGGGTGGATCTGATGCAGATGTGAAGGCGCGGATCGGCAAAGCAAGAGCAGCATATTTACAACTGAGGAACATCTGGAACTCAAAGCAACTGTCAACCAACACCAAGGTCAGGATTTTCAATACAAATGTCAAGACAGTTCTACTGTATGGGGCAGAAACCTGGAGAACTACAAAAGCCATCATCCAGAAAATACAGGTGTTTATTAACAATTGTCTACGCAAAATACTTCAGATCCATTGGCCGGACACTATTGGCAGCAACCTACTGTGGGAGAGAACAAACCAGATTTCAGCGGAGGAAGAAATCAGGAAGAAGCGCTGGAAGTGGATAGGACACACATTGAGGAAAGCACCCAACTGCGTCACAAGACAAGCCCTCACATGGAATCCTGAAGGTCAAAGGAAAAGAGGAAGACCAAAGAACACATTACGCCGAGAAATGGAGATAGACATGAGAAAAATGAACAAGAATTGGATGGAACTAGAAAAGAAGGCCCAGGACAGAGTGGGTTGGAGAATGCTGGTCAGCGGCCTATGCTCCATTGGGGGTAACAGGCGTAAGTAAAGTAAGTAATGTAGGGTTAGCATAGCAACTGACAGTACAATTTCATATGATCACTCACTTGTCAAATGTCAATGACAGAATAATCCAAACTACTACAAATCGAAAAATCTATACCATCTTCACATGTGTCTATCTGGATGGAATAGTTAAGTTGACAACGCGTTGGCTTTCGAATCAAAAGGCACTGGGTCCGAAAACCGAGGTGGACATTAACTCTAGGGTACAGGTACACCCACCTGAAGAGTCCCAAACAGGAAAAAGCACATCCTGGATCCTACTGTTAGCCACATTCTATTTATTCCACATAGACCCCATACTCATACCAGTTGTGTGAATAAAAGAATAAATTTAGTTTACTACTGATATGAAGCTTCCTGACTTACTTAAATATGTATTGTTTCAATCTTCAAATCCTAAACTTATTCGATATTGACTGTAATGAAGTCTTTTGATTGCTGTATCACCTTATATCTATTATGTTTTGAAATAAGTGCACCTGTGAGAACGAATATTCTTTAAACGGAAAATTATATAATAGTCTTTTTATATCTATAGAGCTAAAAATCACTTCATTTGAAAGAGCAATCACTGAGGACTGATCCTAACGTAAGAAAATTAAGATTAATAAATTGAAAGAATAATGGGAATAAAGTTATACATATAATTTATTAATCAAGTTGTTTCAGAAATACTTTGAACACACGCAAGGACACTGTTAATATGCTCAATTGGAAAGTGGTAAAATTCAACTTAAACATTCATTGTTACATATGTTGCTGAAATTTGTGATCGTGTAGTTTCAGTATGAACCGAATACTAAAATGTTACCGATATATATATAAACAAAAAAAACAGATACTGATAGAGGACAAAGAATACATTGTTGGGATGAGATAATAATTTTTACAAATGTACAGTAATTTACAGTGGGCGATTCGAATGTATCATTTAGGAAAACTATATGCAGAATATATAAATAAATTTATCTATCATCCGAAGTAAATCTTCTTTTTTTCCTATTCAAATACCGCTCTTTTTGCCGTTTACTCATTTGTGCCAGACGTTCATTCTGAACGAGTTTACGGAGTTCCGCTGATAAATTTGGAAAATTAGTTTAAAAGTTATGTTAATAGTGTAAGTAAGCTCTGACATAAAAAAAATACTTGTTGAACTGATCTAAAGTCTAACAAAAAGAACGCGGTTTTAGGACAACGAAACGAACTATAACTATTTCTCAAAGATAGTTTGTATTACGAAGAACATATACATATTAGGAAGCATTTAATGACCGTTATTTTATAGTTTGTGATTCCCGAACGGAATTCAACCAAGGGTGCTAACCTTCCGCTGTGAGCACGATACCATTCCCCTATCAAATACAAGTGTCTCTACTCCATATATTCAATTGATTTAAGTCGATAATCACTTTGTGCTTGCGACCGGAAGTAATGAAAATTTGTATCGAAAAGATAAATCAACCAAAAATCTACAAAAGACTGTCAGAATCAGTAACTTATATCCTCATAAACTGTTCCAAGAATTACGTGATTGTTATACTGATTGACAAGTTATAAATAAGGAAGTCAAATAATAACTTTGACGAAATTCGAAGTGGCTAGGGGTTATATGTTCATGTCAATGAGCCTTACATTTGTAAAATAAAAATAATTTCAGAAAATAATGATAGATTAAAGCGAGACTGATCTGATATTTACCGCGGCAGATAGTGATTATCGGTAAGCACTAATGAAATTTTTCCATAATTGCAACATAACTGTTTCATAGCGAAACTGATTGCAATACTCCGTAAGTGGTGCTGAAAATTTCTTACTGTAAAAATATTTGTAGTAATGAATAAAACGACTGTTACCGCTATATATTGGTGGGTAATATTTAGAACTTTACTTTTAGTTCTTTTCGGTATCTATACTAATACTAATGTAACCCGGCAATTATATGAAATGGTCACAGTGACTAACCACGTCACTCCCTATTAATAGGCTAGACGTTGGTGTAGACCAATAACTAAGGCACTATTTTATTATTTCGGAAGTGAGAAACAGATATCAAATATTCTTATAGTATTAATACATATATTAATGAAACCGTATTTTGCCAATATGAGCACTGAAAAAATGTTGCCTGTATATCCCATAAGAATTAGAGAACACTCAAGTAGGAAACTAATAATGATCAACTGAAGGAAGAAACTGTTACCTTTGAAAAGGTAAATATGACAAAGTTGGATAAGAATCTAGAAAATAAACGTCGATATGGAAGACCGCTTTACGCACACACGGGGATCATAGTTAATAGTATTAAGTGATAAGTGACAAGTCATCGCTCAAATAGGAAAACAAGTGCAGGTGGGGGAACTGCTGAAAACAGAAGTGTTGATGTGAAGAGCATACCCATTTAATAGATGAAAATTAATTTGCAATACTCTGAATACGAGTCGAACAGAATAACTAAGATATGTGTTCAGTATTTTCAGATAAATGATAATTAGTACTACTCAACTAAACAAAAGATAAAAGATTTACAGATGTTGGGCTAGAAGTTACTACGTCATACTGTATGTTTTAAATCCAGGTTTAAAGTATCATGAAGTGAAAATAAAGCATTCAGAAAACCGATAAAACGATTAGTTTGATTCAGGTTTTACAAAACATCTGCAAAAGCATCTCATTATGACTTGATTGATTGGTTAGAGGTGTCTATTTCCAAAGACATCATTCATTTTGCTCTTAAACGTATTCTCAACGTTCTTATTCAGTTTACTACACGTTCTACTAGACATATTACACAAACTCCTTTAACAAATTATTTGCATTTATTCATTTTTAGGTATAAAAACTTTAGTAAATACACATTTATAGCTTTTAGAAAACCCAAATGTGACGAAAGAGTTACGTCAAAAGAAAAGAATGTCTGAAAATTATGCCCAGTTATTTTAGGCTCTTGAAAAAGTAACATACGTGTACTTACCTCGAGGAATAAAACGAACGGATCTCCCTGATTCCAAGTTTTCAATTTGTTCCTTCTGCAGTTTATCCATGAATTGCTTACGGAATTTTCTATCTTTTGCTGTGGCTATTCGCTGTCTTACCAAATGTAACGCATCCGTCACTTCCTTACGTTTGTTCGGGTCTAAATTCTGACGCAGCATCTTTTTTAGTTTCTGGTTTGAAAGTATATATTCACATAGCAGAAAGCAGAGAAACATTTTAATAGGAACATTTACGACAATATGCAGATAACTAGTTACTAACCTGACAAAAAATATCCCAAATTTGAAATATACAGTAGGTTTTGAATTCAGTACAATGCTTTACAGTCACAGTAAACTACATTGAATAGCCAGTTGATTGCGGTAGAAGATATAAGTTGCTATGGTTGGGTGAGAGTGATATTATTTATTTGAACACATAAATATTAGTACAAGGGGGCACTAAATATATATGCGCCACACAAAACAATGAGAATTCGAAGAGAAAAAAAGAAGGTAAGGAGTGTTAAAAAAGAACAATAACGAACAGATTAGTGTAAGGTAGTGTAATAATAATAATAATAATAATAATAATAATAATAATAATAATAATAATAATTAATATAAATAATAATAATAATAATAATAATATAATAATAATAATAATAATAATAATAATAATAATAATAATAATAAATATAATAATAATAATAATAATAATAAAATAACAATAATAATAATAATAAATAATAATAATAATAATAATAACTAATAGAATATAATAATAATAAGTAATAATAATAATAATAATAATAATAATACTAATAATAATAATAATAATAATAATAATAATAATAATAATAATAATAATAATAATAATAATAATAATAATAATAATAATAATAATAATAATAATAATAATAATAATAATGGGGGAAACGAAAAGGTACAACCAGAAGAATTCCTTCAGTTAAGGAAGATACAACCACTTTTTTATGAAGAAAGTAAAAGGTTACAGCAGGACCGCCATTGGCTTCTATTCTGGACCATATCTGATAACGTCTCTAGCCACTGTGTTGCACCATCTCTCGGACCCCAACCAGGGAGTCGTGAAGGATCAGCACAAGCCAGCCCTTTGCAGCTTTCTTTCATACCACGACACCATGTCATACACTGACCACCTCTCCGCTTCTTCCAACCAGCCCCAGAGTCGGCAAATTATGCACACCGTGGAATTCTCTGGGAGGACATTCGTAGCACATTTCCAAGCCACCGAAGTCGGTGTTTCAAGATGGTGACACCAATTGCATTATCGACTCTGTACCCGAACACACGATGCCGAACCTCTGCATTACTGACATGATGTTGCCACTGGATGTCAGCAATCCTTCGGAGACAACGATGATCGAGCACAGAGAGTCATCTAACATCCTCAACTCGGAGAGGCCAGGTTTCACAAGCATAGAGCAAAACTGCTCCCACCGACGCGTTGTAGATCCGACCTTTTACAGCCAGACTGACATCACGAAGGCACCAAAGATGGCCCAGATTGGCATAAGTCACTTTGGCTTTCACTATACGTGCATTGATCTCATCACTTCGAAGGTGCAAAGCACATACCATACCTACGGACACTGATTGCCAACTGATTAAGTGCGGATTGCATGGCTTGGGCATTATCGCACAGTAAGACAATATCATCCGCATACTCAAGGTCGAGAAGTCTTTCTCCAGGCAACAGATCCACACCGCCATTACTTACATCCATCAGAGCTGTTTCCAGAATGTCATCGATGGCAAAATTGAAGAAGAATGGTTAGATTGGGCAACCCTGTCTAACCCCACTGCTTGAATGGAACAATTGAGAGAGGTGGTTGTATGCCTTCACTCTACCTGAGGTGTTTGTATATAGGGCTTTTAAGATGTTAATAAACTTCTCAGACACACCCTTCTTCAACAGACAATCCCAGAGAACAGTCCTGTCCAACAAATCGAAGACAGTCCTGATGTCAAGAAACACTACGATTGTTGGCCTTTGATAAGTATGGAGGTGTTCTAACATTTGGCAGAGGGTGAAGATATGATCAATACATCCTCGACCGGAACGAAAACCAGCCTGCTCCTCGCGAGTCAATCTTTCTCGGGTTTTGAACAACCTACGAAGTATGACGGAAACCAATAGCTTGGACGCAATCGGAAGTAGACTTATCTGCCGATAGTTGTTACAGGAATGACATGAACCCTTTTTAAAGACAGAGACAACTATCGACTCATTCCATGACGTTGGTACCCTCTCTAGCTCCCAAATCTTTGTAAACAACGTCGTCAATTCCTTAGTCAGAAAGTCACCACCATCTTTAAAAAGAGCCGGAGGTAAGTCATCTGGGCTAGGTGATTTGTAGTGCTTCAAGAGTTGGAGCTCCTCGCGGACTTCCGCCCCAGTTGGTGGATCAGTCGTTACCGGCCATGGAGGGCAGGACAGTCTGACCGATGATGTCGGAGCAGCAGGCCAGTTGAACTGCCCTTCGAAGAATTCTGCCCATCGTCCAAGACGTCGATGGATGTTAGTGATTGGCATCCCGTCCTCACATATTGTTTCACTCACACCAGACTTCTTGCTGCCAGTGGCTCGGATGAGTTGGAAGAGCTTCCGGTAGTTAACAGACGCAGCTGCTGTTTCCAGCTCATTAGCACGCTTCGACCACCAGGCTTCTCGGTCCTTACGCAAGCTTTGCCCAATTTCCTTATGTAACATCCTTCGTTTATGGTCAAACTCACGGTCACCCAGAGTAGACCGACGGGCTTCAATGAGTTGTAAGGAGCCTGAAGAAACCCAGTGCTTATAAGCGGGACGTCTCGCAAACCCACAATTGACTGTACCCGCCATTTTCATGGCGTCATGCAACTGCAACCAATACTCATCTATACTTTTCGGTGGAATGGTAGCTAGCCTAGAAACTAGCTCGGTTCGATACTTACCTGCAACAGAAGTTGCAACCAACTTGCTGACATCAATCCTTTGGTGGCGGTCACTTCGTTGGCCACTGAAGAGTAAGGTAAGATTGGCGGCGGTCTTGTACACAACCACGCCAGCGGTAGCTGATCGCGATGTGATTAATCTGAGTCTAGGCTTGAGATGCAGAGGAAGGACGCCAGGTGGCACATCGGCGATGACTGTGCCGGAAGTCAGTGCTAGCCAGAAACAAGTTGTGGTCTGTGCACAGTTGCAGTAGACGGTCCCCGTTATCTGACCTGCGACCAACAAGTCCCCTTCGGCCACCTAAACGACTCTCTTCTGTGCCTAGACACCCAACCTGAGCACTCAAATCTCCGGCTAGTACTGCAATATCTGTCGAACGCACTTTCTGGAGAAGAACAAATAATTGGTGGTAGAATTCATGCTTGATTGCATCCGGGCTGCAATCTGTAGGAGCATAGGCGGAGATGACGAAAAGACATTTTCTCACGCCGATTTCTTCTCACTTTGATGGAACTTTCTAATCTAACAGCACATAATCGACTGTCAATGGGGATCCAATCGATTAGTGCTGCCTCAGCTCTAGCGTTTAGTGCGACACCAACGCCAGCAAGACCAGACGGAGATGCCACAGGGTCCCAGGATAAACGCACGTACAACAAGCTTTTTGAAGCGACAGATGGAGTGTGAATTTTTAGTTCTTCACCAGAGTCTTGAATACGGGTCTCGAATAGACAACGAACGTTGATATTAGGACTTCCCAAAGAGATAGCCGGCTCTATCTGTTTCCGACCTGCATAAGTGTGCGAACGTTGAAGGCAGCCCGTTTGAATGGTGCACGTGGTTTCAGAAAAACTGGCCATTTCGAGGAAAGCTGACTCTCCCCACTTTCTACCGTACCACGGCATTTGGAGGTATGTTTTAAGTCACTTACTTATCGTAATGAAGGGTTTCAAGTAGAAATATCTTTATGAAGTGAAAAGATTGGGTACAACAGCAACCGTTAACCTGGTAACTTTAAGGTACTACCTCACTCGGTTAGGAGAGTTCCATATATACTCATATTAACAGCATATCTCCCCTGGATAACATTTAACGTCTACTTTAGTCAAGAGCTTCTTGTATTTTCTGCTACTAGTACTAATTTCTTCTTAGTGTTTCTTTTATCTCATAAACCTTGTAAAAGTGATCTATAGAATAACACACCATATTCTACGAAGAACCATTTATGGTTACGTATTGAATTTTATAAATTTTGAACGTAGCGACATGTAGGAAGGTAGATATTAATAATTAACACCTCAGGATTCACGGTAATGGATAGGTTCGGTCATTAAGCAGATGCATCTACATTCGATTTCGTTGACTAGTTTATTATAAGTCATTTTATTCTTCAGGTGGTATTGTAAGTTTTCTTTGATATCCACTCTTAGTGATATAGCAAATCAATGAAGTTGTGTCAAATAATATATCCATGCTTACTGAACCCACATAGAAACCGAACAGAATTAAATAATTATACATCAAAACATGTGACATACTTTTAAGGTTTTCGCTCTTTCATCTTCTAAAAATTCCCAATCATCAACGTGACAAATACCATCAACTCTAGGGTCAAATCTAGGGTCACTCTTGCGATTTTGTTTACGTTTCAACGATTGAATACCGTCTTGATAAACACTTTTAAGGTTTTCTGTTAGATATATTTTCTTTCTCTTAAATTCCTTAAATGACGTTTCTAATGGAGCATCATCATTATCATCCATACTATAAGAAAAAATGAGAACATTTGAAAACAAATCCACGGTTTAGTTTCACTGATAACATGAAAATATGTTAGAGACAACAAAGTCAAGACAGAACCAACTATAGGATAAGACAGTGCAAAAAAACATTTTTCTCCCCTATATAACTTGGTACAAGTAGTCACAGAACTAATTACATTAACATCAAAAGTAATGTCCCTATGGCTTTGTACCGAATGCTCTAATGACTGGTAAATTCTTAGGCTAATGGTCTCACAAATACAGTAGAAAGATTCCAATGTATCTGGGGACAATACTTGCTGTGGGGTCGTCTCAAGGAAGATCAGCCAAATAACTCGTAGTTCAGAAATAATTTCTTTATGTTAGACAATTGAGAGAAAATGTAGAGTTATGACACTTGCCGAATAAAGGCTACAAAGCACAAAATGTAGAATCAGATTTTCTGTAAACTAAAAATTTCCAGTGTGAATGACCGAGCGTAGGACTGGTATTAGGACCTGTGATCAACCAGTAAAGTTGTATATTTTTCTTACTTTCTAGGGCAATTTATTTCCTTGATACATTTTTCCCCATTTATTGATGTACATAAGTGTATCATTTTGTAATTAAATGTAGGCTTAAAGAGATCCAATCTGCATCGAGTTTCAAACAAAGTACTTGGTTCTCCAAATGTCACTTTATATTAATAGTGATATTAACGGCAATGATTCAAAAATGTACATATATGTGAAATTCGATTTCAGCAAAACCAAAACAAAATAGATGGAGGATTAAAGCTGTAGCTTAGTGGCTGAAGATCTAATACATTAACCTCCAAGCCATCGGTGTTAAGGTCAGAAATATAAACTTGAATTCACATGTTTCAGTGATTGAAAAACTTAACTAACCTAGATAGAGAGCATTCTGAGTACTTGATACATAAACTTATAAGATATTCGGCTTTCCAAATTAAACGTGTTTACAACAGCGTTAGCATAACAGTATGATTAATATCAAGTTTTGTCATAAAGTTTTACCAGTAGATGAAGGTAAATGTGGTGGGTAGTAACCAGGTTGGTTTCGTAACCAGGAATTTCGCCAACACGATCCTTTAACATGAAGACAACCCTGTTCCCCCATTATTAGGGCCCAAACAACTAGTGCTATTGTAATTGTATGTAAGTCGTTACAGCGACTTACTCTTATTGAATACATTTTACAAATGCTTCTTAAGAAACTACTGGTAGTTGAAGGATCTATGGAAATGACCTGTGAGTACTGAGTTAGATAACAATTTTACCCAAGATAAGCGTTAGTCTAAATATTTGTTTAATACAAAAGTACATTGTAGGTGAGCTTTTGTTATTATGCAGAGGGAACATGATAAACGTCTACATACAGTGGAGACATTTCATACAAGCAAATCGATTGTCGCCACCCTATATTGGGTGTAGTACTTATAAGCAGATTCAGCTTGTTAGTTGGTGTTAACAAAAGAAAGCTTATCAACGCCTATGTGCAACTACAGGTTTATAGGGTTTTTCGGGTTACCAAATGCATGGGACTGCAATAAGAACCCTTGTAAATGAAGTTTTTGTTGATATTGTCCGCCAGCTCATGAAATATTGCGGATTTATCACGATGGCAACGTAAAGCACTAAGCACTGAGTTACAGCTAAAAAAGAAAACACTCTTCGTCCACTGTTATATAAAATTAAAAGTACGAAATTAAAATTCAAGTATATATGCCTGCACCATATATGGTGCAATAGGGGGTCATTGGTCTCTTTACTGGTATTTGCAGTACTCCTACAAGTCCTACTTTAATAGGACCCACACCTAAGAAAGGTTTTAGCTTTTTTCGTATCTCCAGAAAATTTATAATGCAGCTTTCCCAAAACTCAGAATTCTCGCCAAGATCGGATTAGGAGAAACAAACAACAGATGTACTTGGAGCATGTGTTAAACCTTATTTGTTATATGAAGAACTTACGTCTACATAAAAAACATAATTTTGCTTGCAAGAAATGCTTAGTAAAGGACGGCGACGCTCCTAGGGTATCGTCCACTGATGGGGGTTGCGAGCACTTGAAGGTCAAACCGTCGCAAAATGATTGGTGCGTCACATCGACAATTCGTGAAAATTTTCAGAAGCGGTCAAATCAAGACATTTTTAGATTTGAATTGAGTTCAGCCACACCATGTCTAGTAACGTTCATTCTTCAAGTAACGAAGACGATGCCATCGTGATGATGCATGATATAGGACGAATCTTCAATGATATTATGTTATCTCGAAGATTTACAAGTTGGGACAATTTTGAGACCTGTTTGAAAGAAGTACATAAGGTGATATGACTTCTAAGGTTAATAATCATTTTTTTAGTATACGCATACTAAGTAGGTTATGTCAGTATGCAAAAAGAACAGTGATGATTCAACTCTAAAGTACTTTTTCGTGAGATATGTCTGTACATATGGACGTAAACGCAGTTCGTCAGAGTCAGATGCTTGCGTTCAGGATGTAGATGATGATAGTAATAATCATTCTTCTGAAGAGCATACAACTTCTAATTCGCCAACACAACCTAGGCAAAGGAGACGACGTCGGTCATCTACGTATTCCTTACTTCAAATGAATTTATCCTTCAGGTCGAAATATTGCCATTGTCAATCAGGATTTTGGGTCCGGGCAGTAAATGGTGAGTTGAAACCCACCTCTATTAAAACCGTGCACAACCATCCTTGCACAGAAGGATATATTTCTGTCGATCCATCGAAACAACAGTTGACCTCAAGTGAACGCTTGTATTTAAGAACGTTTCTACTGAGTAATACACCAACTCGTAGCTTACGGTATCTGGTTTCTTGGAAGTTCAATAAACAGCTTACCAAGGACGATATCGCCAGAATGCGTTTACGGTTGTACCCAGGTTGTTGAACTCACATTGTAATTATTTGAGTTTAGACACTAAAAATATCAATGACATTTTACAGCGCGTTCAAGCAAATACTGAAGTTAAAGTATTCAATGAAAATGGGAACATGTCTATGATTTGCTTCAGCCGCAGAGAGCAAATAGCTGTTTACCACGCGTTCCCGGAGGTAATATGTATTGATTCGACTTATCAGACCAATAAAGTCGGGTAAGTAACGAATAGTGATAAATTTATCTTAAAGTTTTCCACTGTTCCAGCTAGTGGTGACTGACAGTCTTGGGCAAGAGCACACTGTTATGTATGCTCTTTGCAGTCAAGAACGACGCGAAGATGTCGAAAAACTATTGGAATGTTTTAAAGAGATAATGTGCGGTACTTATGCTACACGCACTTTCATTATGGATTCGGCAGCGACCGAAATTTCGGCTGTGCAGTCTACGCACAGTCATTCTAACATAATACTTTGTTCATTCCATGTCCTGAGAGCATTTTTCAGGAAGGTATGTGTTAGCTGTACAAATTATTTTATGTAGTTCCGAAGTCCTGATGTGCGCAAATGCTTGGAACACTTTGTGAAGACTAGACGGTCTGATATGTGAGCTTCGCTTTACATAACGCATTATATTCAGATTTACTCGAAAGTACGAACATCTAAGGACGCATTTCCCACGGGCGTATGATTACATAAAAGATTACTGGATTGCCAGGAAGTCAATCTGGGCTCGCTGTTACCGGCGACATTTATTAAGCCTGGGCAACCACACAAACAACCGTGTCGAAAGTGCTCATAAACACCTAAAAGAATGTCTCAGAAGAGGTGATTCCCTGCTATTGACTTTTTGGAAAATTTGGAGTAAAACAGACATTGACCTACGTTTGCATCCTTATGATGCTGTGAAGGATCTTCAACGTTTTCCAATTCTTCAGGTAAGAAATATAGTTAAATGTATCATTAATTCCAGGTTCCACTGATATAACCCCAAAGGTCTCCTATGTTCGCCTTTATTTTCAACAACAGACCAAAATAAATCTTCAATGCGGTGGAAAACCGGTATATTTTTGAAAATTTTTATTTAAAAGGTAAAGCGTATTATTGTACAACACTAGAGCAGAAGCTTAAGCACCGATTGTTTTGCATATCCAATACAATTGCTAATCCATTGTTATTTGAAATTATCTGCAAAAGAAGGAACTGGTGATGTGTTATTTATAAGGAATGTGCATTTAATCTAAAGTTCACTGACACTTCTACAGTTTCCCATGTAAGTAAAAAGTAAGATGTTTGAAAAATAATGTTTATTGAAATGTAGGTAGAACATCAAAACAACTGCACGGCTATTGAGAATTGAGGTAGTCGTCCCGTTAATTCTGAATTAAAAAAAGAAAAAAAAGTCACAACCATATCTCAATGACATGCTTTGGTACAGCCAAATACTTGTGTAGATCCACACAGGAGGTAGTAATGCTATCCTAGCTTGGTCTCTGGTAAAATCCCCACATAATTATACCTCTTCCGCATGATTATGATTTATTTCCTGCAATATAATCATCTAGTGGCTAATATATCTAACTGTAGAAGGTGATATTAACATCTTGGTATGTGTTATTATCATCTATAGCATATACATAATATTTACAACACTCAGGACACCTTATGTTTTCACTTGAACCTATTTCTGCCATAAAAGTCGAACAAAACAGTGAAAATCAGCAGAAATTGTGATAAAGATAGGAAAAACGATAAATCTTACCATGGTATCGTTAGTTGTAACGCAGTTTTGGTAGCCTTGACGACAATACAATTTTTATGACGATATATGCCTAAATCTTGCTATTTCATATAAAAATAAAAGAATTGTCTACCATCAGTGTACACCTAAGTAGAAATAATTGCTAATCTGCGATGCAAACACCGAAAAACTATTATAGCAGCACCTGATTAATGAATTTTCAAAGACTTCGCGATACCATGTAACGCAAAATGGAAAAACCCCTTTTTACCTAATTATGAAAACGGAAAATAGACTTTCAAATTTATTCATAATTAATTTCGGAATTTGGTTGTTCACAAAGCAGAAATGAAAAGGTAGCGCAAAAATGTGTCGCGATACCCCTGGAGCGCTGTCGTATAGGACTAAGAAAAGAAAACTTGAAAATGTCGGGTGGTAGTGCGGAATTTAGATGTATCACATTATGATTTAAATTTGTCTGGTAAGGACAGAAGGCCCACTGATCGTATCAGTCCTTTTCTAGTAGGCTTCTGAGAGTGTCTAGTTTTTTGTTGAATCAGTCAAATAAAGAGGCGGACACCACTTCCTACGGTAACAGGTTTCAAGAATCTATGACCCAGTGTGAAAAACTGTATGCCTTGAGTATTTCTTTCGTTTTTCGGCTTTCCTATTTGTCTGCTATGTCTTCTGAGTTGCCCTGAACTGGTAGGAAGAAAAAGAGGGTATATATCAGATTTAAGATTATGTATTACTATTCTATTCATCAAAATCGGACCACCCCTTAATCAGCGGTAGGACAGATTAAAGAGGTCGAGCTGCTCTTTGTAAAGCTGACCTTGGAGTTCTGGAATTGCACGGGTAGTTTCCAGGTGTACTTTTTACAGGATATCCAAGTCACCTTATAAACGGGGGCAGTTTTCAATTCAGGACCTTATTAAGGCTGTGTATACTGTAGTGAACATATTACAATCCAACTTGGTAAATGTTTGTCTTATAGCCTATAGGGTTCTAAACCACTTGGCAGCGACCGTTAGGCAGTGGGCCGTAGTCTTAAGATCATGGTTTGCTGTTACCCCAAGATCACTGTGAGATCGATCTACGGATAAAGACTCTCCCACTATGCTGCAACTATTTACCTTTGTACTCACAATGTGCATGTAGACAAGCTTTTCCGCTTTGAAAGGCATCACTAATCTTTCAGACCATCCAACAGGAACATCCAAGTTCATCTGAAGTGCATATGTGTCTGCATCCCCTGTTAATTCTTGCCAAATTCCTAAATCACCATCATAAAGCAGCACTGGAGACTTAACTATGCTTGAGAGATCATTTACATGCAGTATAAAAAGTAGATCACCTAGGACAGTCTTGACGTACTCTATTAAGTACCGGTTCCCAGGGGGGAGAATTTTGAATTTATTCTTACTTCCTGCCTACAATCTGCTACGAAACCCTTGTTTGACTTTGGGATAGATCCAGCAATTCCTAGATTCTCTAGCTTTAGGGGGAGTCTATTATTCTGAATCTGATCATACACTTCACGGAAGTCTACGTAGGCGGAATCCAGTGATTTTCCATTACCTGGAACCTCCGTCCATTTCTCATGTTATAAGGCTTATTGAACAAACTAATCCCTTCCTAAACCCATGTTGTTCACTGTTTGACAAATTCTTAGTTTCCATGAATGTAATTGTAGCCTTTTTTATTATTTCTACCAGTACTTTACTACGAATCTGGTGAAGCTGACAGGTCTGTGGCTTGATGGGAGTTGTCTTAGTCCTGTCTTATGAATTGGAGTGGTAATAAAATCTTTCCAGTCCATAAGTAAAATTTTTAAGGTGTAGTTCATCCAGTCCCATTGATTTTTCCGTGTTTAAATACCAAAGGTGTTTGGTACGTCGTCTTGATCCAAATTCACAGTGAGCAGCTAATTTTGTGACTTTGTATTTGGGTCTAGTCAATCGTCTAGAATGGGCTCCTGAATGAAAAATGTCCCCAAATTGTTCATCATTCCTCCTGTTTTTTCTTGGTCTTCCTCCGTCATTCATGATGCATTCCTGTAATGAGGTTTGGAATCCAATGGTAAGTTCTTGTTCTGTAAATTATGTACAAGAACAGTCTCTTCGGCAGATCGATTACAGATTGAGCCAACTGCTTTTCGTATTTTTGCTGAGCTGCCCAGACTGTGCTTAAACACTTATTTCCGACCGACCTGTAGCGTCCCATCGTATCTGACGTCTCAAGGCTGATGGCAA